TTTAATAGATTTTACTATAAGCATTTGGTTAGTATTTTCTGGTTGAATCTATAAAATTTCTTGTTGCATTAATTTCTTTGCTTGCTTTTTAACTTAACTCGTATTCAATATTTGCCATGAAATATATATAAAAAATTAGTATTAACATTAAATCCAAAGTATATTTTTTTTCTCTTATGAACAGTAGTGCCAGAAAGAAGACGCTAGCTCTCTGATTGTGTTTGAGCTGCATCCTCTTCTTGCATCACTGTTTATCAGTTTAATTTCTAACAAACTGAATTAAAAATAATTTATTCAATAATCTGGTTTGAATTTATCCAATAATCGTGTTGAAATTCAGAATATTAAACAGACTTTTGAGATTAGATGGAAAAAATTTTAGCCGACTTGGTGCTGGCAAGTTTAGTATTATTAACCACAAGATTATGTAAACTTAACAGGAAGAAATTAAAAACATACTGGTTGAATCTACTAGAATTCTAAGTAATTCAATCAGATTTTTTTCTCAGCGCACTGTTTATCAGTTTAATTTCTAACAAACTGAATTTAAAATAATTTATTCAATAATCTGGATTGAATTTATCCAATAATCGTGTTGGAATTCAGAATATTAAACAGACTTTTGAAATGAGATGGAAAAAATTTTAGACGACTTGATACTGGGAAGTTTAGTATTATTAACCAGAATATATAATATAGGTAAATTTAATAGGAAGAAAGATCATCTGGTAATTCCTTGGAAATCAGATTCATCTGGTAATTCCTACAAGAATTCTGGTTCGTCCATTTTCCAAAAAACATACTGGTTGACTCTACTAGAATTCTAATTAATGCAACCAGATTTTTTCTCAGCACTGTTTATCAGTTTAATTTCTAACAAACTAAATTTAAAATAATTTATTCAATAATCTGAATTAAATTTATCCAATAATCTTGTTGGAATTTAGACTATTAAACAGACTTTTGAGATTAGATGGAAAAAATTTTAGACGACTTGGTGCTGGGAAGTTTAGAATTATTAACCAGAAAATTAGGTAAATTTAACAGGAAGAAATTAATCAGATTCATCTGGTAATTCCTACAAGAATTCTGATTCGTCCATTTTCCAAAAAACATACTGATTTAATCTATCAAAATTCTAATTAATACAACCAGATTTTTTTCTCAGTGCACTGTTTATCAGTTTAATTTCTAACAAACTGAATTTAAAATTTATTCAATAATCTGAATTGAATTTATCCAATAATCGTGTTGGAATTCAGAATATTAAACAGACTTTTGAGATTAGATGGAAAAAATTTTAGACGACTTGGTACTGGGGAGTTTAGTATTATTAACCAGAATATTAGGTAAATTTAACAGGAAGAAATTAATCAGATTCATCTGGTAATTCCTACAAGAATTCTGGTTCGTCCATTTTCCAAAAAACATACTGGTTGACTCTATTAGAATTCTAATTAATGCAACCAGATTTTTTCTTAGCGCACGATATTACGATATCTCTCCCGAGTTTTTTTTCCTGGTCTCTCGTAAGAAATTCGCAATCCTTATTAAAGATCATCCAATCCGGAAGTGACTCCCGCCGAATCAACAATCGATAATTACGTGACGGATAAATATTTATTCTCCGCACCGACTCGGATTGAAAATATTTTCGAGATGCAAGTTTCATTCTCTCCGCTGATCTTCTATTTAGTGCACATAGAGAGGTCGAATTTTTTCTCCTTTTCACGTGTCACGCGCGCTTCTTCAAAGAGAATTCTCTTGCAAATACAGCGAGCGACGACCGACTGAGGTAAAAAGAGCGGCAGTGTCCTTCTATCAGATTATTCCTTCTCGAGGCGAAAATTCACTCGGACAATTCGCACGGTGTCTCCATTACAGCTAGTCTGAAATAATTCGCAAAGCTGCGCGGATTTCGAGATGTAATGAAATTCGTGCGTTCGTCCTCTTTCCATAAATTACATTCGCGAGTGTGTATCTCTGCGGAAGAGAGAGAAAAAGGGAGAAAGAGAGAGAGAGAGAGAAAGGACGAGACCGGGCGCAGTCGCAGAAATGCATCCGCAAGATTATAATCATCTTGCATCTCCCTCGTCTACGAATATGTCGGAGGCGCCTATATCTCACCAGCGCCGAGCGCTGCCTAAAAATACGACGCGCTATTTTTAACGTCAACGCGATTCTCGCTGCACACGAGAGAGAGGACGGAAACCGCACCGCGTCTCACACCAGTGGGGAGAAAAAAAGAGAGAGAGAGAGAAAGGAAGGGAGAGCGAGCGCGAGAGAGAGAGAGAGAGCGAGAGATAGAGAGAGAGAGGGGGGGGAGAGAGAGAGAGAGAAATATCCGCGATAATACGATTACAAGCAGCACGAAACATCGACAGGAGAGAGAAGGAGAGAGTCCCATTGTGAACGAGACGAATTTAGTCATATACCAAAGTTCAAGTGGGGAATTTTGCTCAAAAATATACATGTATACACACCCATACGTACATCCCTCTCTCTCTCTCCTCGTTCAAGTATTCTTGTAGCGTATATTATTAAGAAATACAAAAGTCATATCGGAGTTTTTCCGTTCATCTCCGATTCTCTGCTCGATTATAATTATGATGAAATAAAAAAATTTTCTCTAGAAAAAAATACACCTTTTTAATCGATTAAAATTACAGCGAAAATTTTCAATCGATTAAAATTACACCGACGCAGCCGATATTCTTGATTTTACGAGAGCTTATTCCCGAATGTAAACATTATTAATGTGGAAATTTACATTTCATTTTTTTTTATACACGCGTAAAATAATCTGATGCAACATTGCAACATGCGTATGATCCTCTTTAACTTAGCAATCGCATTCGATCGATTGTTCGTTCCTCGAGTCGTCAGGTATACGCTTGTAATCGTAATCCCATCGAATTACGTGACGAATTCGCTTTACGTAACTAAATCAACGCTCGCATCATCGAATTAGCGTTAGAAAAAAAAGCACGAGGCTGGGTCAATTCATCGAGAGAGCCCCGTGAATAAACGAGTGGCCCCTATTAAAGCGATTACCTCGTTAAGACATTGTCTCCATTGGCATTAAATCGGTGTCACAAGCCTATGAATATACACGTGTGCATATGTATATTTCGAATGGCTTTTCGAGAGAGAGAGAAACTTTGTCCCCGTACGTAAGAATAAAACTCTAAAAAGCCATAATGACAAGAGAATTCCTCGGAAACTATAAGCAGATATATATGTGCCACATTACAGCCTCTATGTGCATCCTAAAAGCTTACTCAATTTTTAAATATTTGAATAAATATTTAAAACACAAATATTTAAAATTTTTAAATATTTGAATAAATATTTAAAAATAAAAAAATATTTAAAAATAATTGATAAAGAATACGGCTTTATGTATTAACAACATGATAATTATGAAACGAAATTATGACGAAATTATGACGAGCGATAAGAGCCTAAAAACGCGGATGGGAATGCGTAATTTTTTTTTTTTTTTTTTTCAAACATTAATTATTCGCGAAAAAAATTTTTTTAAGACGTGCACAAGGCATTTATACATATATTTTACTTGGTGTATATACCGAGTTATAGATTCTCTTGGTTTGAGACTTCTATAACACCCTCTTTATCCCCCTGAAGAGACCCCCACCAAGAGAATCTATAACTTGGCATATACACCAAGTAAAATATATGTATAAATGCCTTGTACACGTCTTAAAAAAATTTGTTTCGCGAACAATAAATGTTTGGAAAAAAAAAAAAAAAAAAAATTACCATCCGCGTTTTTAGACTCTTATCGCTCGTTTCATAATTATCATGTTGTTAAATATTTAAAAATTTAAATATTTATATTCTTTCATAACTATTTATCTTTCATATCAATTTATTAATTTGTTATATATATTTAATATTAATTATATATATTTAATTTATATATATTTAAATATTTGCATAAATATTTAAAAATTAAGTAAGCTCTTGTGCATTTTTATATATTTCTGACGTAAATATCATATGCAAAAAAATCAGTGAGAGACGACTGACAATTATAAATAATTCATGCAAACAAAATTGAATTTAAAAAAAATATGTGCACGTTTGAATACACTATTCATTGATGGCGGAGTAAAAGAATAAGATACGTTTATTAAACGAAATTTGTTTTAAAAAGAGATATGGCGAACACAACGTCGACAGATTTGCACTGAGAAAAGTCGTTTGATTGTACCAACAAGACGTGTATGATGGAAAACATTTTGGTTAAATCAAACAGAATTTTTAGTTATTGTAATAAGACTCGATTTTTTATAACTAGAATGTTCAATTAATGTTCAATTTTAATGTTTTTTAATGTTTTTTTTTCTATTATATTAACTAAACATGGACAGTCATTTTTTTTAAATTTAGTATTATTATTAAGAAAATTTGGTAAATTTTACAGAGAGAGAAATTAATTAATAATACTTTGATAATTCCTAAAAGAATTCTAATTCATCCATTTCCGAATAGACATACTAGTTGAATCTACTAGATTTCTAATTAATACAACCAGATTTTTTCTCAGTGTGTGATGCTATCGACGTGTAATTTCATTATCTAAATTTTTTTATCATAATTATAATCTATACAATGAGTATACAAATCATCCCTGAACAGATCACAATAATTGTGCCCATTCTTTGTACACAGAAAGATCCATCGATCGAACTAATCAATCAATGGAAATCAATTAATAATAATTATTAAATAAATTAATAAATTAATAATCGCGAAAAAAAGCGTGTATTAATTTTCCTATTTGTTGTACAAACTTTTTTGTGTTTATTTCGCGAGAGATTGTTACGGAAGTATATGTGTGTTTACATGAATAGATGGCACGGCATCAACACGGCTCATTGAGCGATCCGGTTCTGCTATTTTAAATTATTCGCGATTTAATTTTGTACATGACGTCAAGCTCTCAGAAAAATTTATAGAATAAAATGACTTACTATTTGGCGCAGTCGATGAGCTGATACTCGTTACTTCTTTCGAAGCTCTGTTGAACGCCCCGATCTTTCCAAAGGGTTTCGACGATTCCGTAAAATTCCTGGAACCAAAACGATATAGAACGATATTAGGCTCGATTCTGCACATTTTCCTGACGAGAAAGATTTATTTCAATTCGTCAATTTATATCGTACACATCACTTTGATCGGAGAGACGTGTGAAAGGGACAGTGTCGCAAAGACAACTAAAGTTGTAATATTTTGGAGCTCATATCTATCATTCTCCTCTGTTTATGACCTCCCAGAGGAAGGGCAAATTTTAATATCAAAACTGCCTTCTATTTATCTTGTCTGTATTTGTAATAAAATTTGTTTGACAGAAAAAAAGGTAAACATATCTCTTGTTGAAAAGTGCGTACTCTTGAAAGCAACTTGACCTAATGACATTTTTTTTCATATCGCGAATACCTCTGAGAAATTTTCATAAAAGAGACGAATCAATTTCTTAATATACGATCTTACAATATACCATAAGAAGTTTGTCGGAAAATTTTCTCATAAATCGCGCAAACGATCCTCTCGACATTATTCATTCCGAAATACACGATCGCGTTTCGGGCGAAAGGAGTGCAGCAGACAATAAACTATTATGAATGTTTCCGGTGCTGTGCGGGCCCAGATCGTCGGGGATAAGAATACATCTCGTAAATCTAAAGTTTCGGAATTCCGTGCAGGTATGCAACGGGTGAGCAACCGGCGAACGCACAATTTTCGCGATACAAAGCGAGGAAGATCCCCGCTGACGAATCGAACGGCGCGAATCCCCGCAATAGACGACCTATTCGCGTATATTTATAGTACATTTATCGCCGTCTTTATTGCACGCCCGATCACTGGACTGTTGTAACGTTTGACGTTTAATTCGTCGTTCAACTCGTCGAAAAACATGCCGCTCGCGAAATCCGCGACACTCAAGAAATGAAGCTAAACACACGCGTGAATCAAAGGCACAATTTTTCTTGATTCATTGGCGTAATCATATTACAATAAAAATCATATTAAAACATCATATTAAAATAAAAATCATATTAAAATAAATAAATGAATGAATTTAAAAAAAATATATCTCCGTCTTGTCCATTGACAATAATAAAACCTGTGAAACTTTATTCATTATTTACAACATTGCAATTTATATATTTTTATACAAAGTGTCTTTTAATTAATTAATTAATTGCCTAAAGCTTTAAAAAAAATCTCTCGTCTTTCAAATTGACTCTATTCTTCCTTTTTAAGAACGCGATGCCCAGAATTTACATCTTATATTAGGGTTTACATCCTGCCATTGCGTAAAACCGTCGCCATAGAAGGCACCAAAGGAGCATCTAAAAATGAATTAAAATTGCGATTTAAATCTTACGTAAATAACAATGGCCGCGCAAGGCTACGCGCCTCGCATTATCGACGAAGGATATTGGGCGCATTAATAATTTAGATGTTATTGTGTCGGAGAACTCGGTTTCTTGCAAGTGCGTAGGCGGTTTAACGCTTCGGCCGCGAATTTCCGTTTATAGTATCGAAATATTTCAAACTGACGAAGCGAAACGACGCGATACTACGACGTTCCGACTCAAATTATCGTGAGAAAGATTCGTGATCGAAAGTGAAACGTTCCCAATACATGTTATCTGGGATAAATCGTAAATATTCCGTCAAGAAAATTCGCATCTAAATTTTAAAACTAAAATATAAAAATTAAACATTAAAATAAAATTAAAGTGAAATTAAAAACTTAAATTAAATTAAAATAAAATAAAATAAAATATTAAAATTAAAATAAAATTAAATATTGAAATTAAATTAAAATAAAATATTAAAATATTAGAATTAAAATAATTTAATTAGGTACAATTTGAATCTTGAGTTAGCGAATATTTCCGTTAAATACACAATAGGAATGTGCAATACACAAATGTGCTATTAATTAAATTGATATTAACATTTTCTCGGATAATATTGATAAATATTATCTTGCGAAAATTTTTCTAATCAAATTATCCGTAAACACTGTATTAATAGCGGCGCTATTTCAGAGTTAAGAATTTCATCGACGAATTTTCACCAACGACGCGTTCTTGTAAACGCGAATTAAAACTTGTCGAGTAATCGCGGTGCATGCATAAATCAACGTCGAAACAACGTAAAGTATTATTAATTATTTGAACCTCGCAGCTGCATCGCGCTTCTATCGCGCTGATATTTCTGGTGAAATACAAATGTGCGCGAATAACGAGACAGAGTTTAGTTTATACACGCATATATAGGCTGTTTCTTAATAAGTGCGAAAAATTTTAGGAGATGATTCTTTGTCGAAAATTAAGCGAAAATTAAATTATTAATAAAAATTAATAATAAATTTATTATAATAAATATATGTATATTTTCATATAAATATATACTCCTACATTTCTCCTTGTGGAGTTACACTTCTCCAAAAATGGAGGTAAAAATTAGGTTTTTAGGTTTTTATTATAATTTTATTTTTGTTCCAATTTTCCCAACATTTATTTCCAATTTTATTTTTGCTTTCAAATTCGAAACCTATGCTATTTAACATCGTGCTGTACACGATAACGTATTTTATTTTTTTCTTAAAAACTACTGATTTTATGAAAAAAAAAAAAAGAAATAAAAGAAATAAAAAAATTTCTAAATAAATCAAACTTTTTAATGCATATTTTTAAATGATTATATTTCCATTAAAAAGTTTGAATAAAAAATTGAATAGCGGTTGTTAATTTCATCTCCTTATAGTAGTATGGGAGGCTGAAAAAAATATTAATAAATGACCTTTTTACTAATAGAAAATATCCACCCGATTTCATTTCTTTAACTTGTTCCAAATTTGAAAAAAAAATAAAAACCTAATTTTTACTCCCATTTTTAGAGGAGCATAACTTTACAAGGAGGGATGTAGAAATATATGTTTATATGAAAAACCCCCCTTAATTTTCGACAAAGAATCATCTCCTAAAATTTTTCGAACTTATTAAGAAACACCTGTATACAAATATTAAGAGTTATAGTTAAGTTATTAAGAAACACATGTATATAAATATTATTAATCGCGTACCTCCAAAAGAATTTAATTTATTAAATATTAAGAGTTATAGTTAAGTTATTAAGAAACACATGTATATAAGTATTATTAATCGCGTACCTCCAACAAAATTTTTCCCCGCAACCAAAGTGCTCTCGGAGATGGAATTTATTAATTCGAATAATCATCGACGGAAATTGCCGGAGGATTTCGACTGGAAATAAACACCGATCCTTGCATGTCGAAAAAAAAATTGTCGAGAAAAGCTCTCTTAATATTAATAACACATAGGAAATTCGAAGGCGATAGAGAGCATGATTAAATAAATTTTCTTTGGAATACAGTAAAGATGTATGATGATTTAATTTAAATCGAATATAAACAAAAAATAAAAAACAAATCAATTTAAATTAAATCATCATATATCTTTACGGTATTCCAAAGAAAATTTATTTAATCATGCTCTCTGTCGCCTTTGAATTTCCTATTGTATTGTTAAAACAAAAATACTTTGAAAACAAAACATCGAATAAACGTTTACGTTAATGGCGTTGATAAAACGATAATTAATTAATGCAAAAAAATAATCTCTTCGCTGATACATACATTTATTTACGAATTAACGATCAGTATCGTTGCATTGCATGTCGGATAGGAAGACGAGAGAAACGATGTTCCCGAAAGGCATGTCCCGAAAGCCGCAACCCGGACCCGGGGTAAATTGGCAAGCGATGTTAGAGCTCTCTCTCTCTTTCTATCCCTCCCTCGTCCCTAGTGTCACGGACGAACTTTGGCAGGACACTTTGGCGGCTCCTCGCGACAGCGAAAGTCCATTCCGTATCGAGGGGGTCGCCTTAATCGCGTTGCCTCGCAGGCTAACGACAAATCGCCGCCTGGCAGTAAACGACACACGACGGTTATATTAATAAATTCTCCTGTCGATGCTATTTCCACGCTTCTAACGATCGATGGGACGGACGCATCGTGTGTCGATCCGTCCCGTCTCCGCGCCAAGGATCGCTTATTACCGCGATTATGCACGTACTAATAATTTCGTCCAAACGCGTCATCTCTCCGCGTCTAACCCTAAACGCCGCCACGCAAGGTATTTTGTGCGTACTCGGCTAAAAATACAGGCGAAAATACCGCACACGTCGCACATGGCGTGTCTTTGCAAAAAGGAGCGAGAGCGACTCTTGGACACTCAAAACGCCCGTAAATCGCGATTCGGAGATTCCCAGAGAGATTTGTTTTAATCGACGCACATTTTGCTATTTATATAATTTTAGTTTATAATTTTTTATACAGTTATATTAGTTATAATTTTTTATATAATTATATAATTTATAATTTTTTATTATCGCGCGTTTCCGAGTCGCGAAAACTCTTGATCGTATTATCGAATAATATAATGCTGTAAATAATATATAATATAATAATATAATACGAATAATATAATATAATAATATATATAATAATATAATGTATAATAATATACAGGGTGTATCTAAAAAAGCTCCCACTAAGCAAATAGCGTTATTCCTAATTAAAAACCGAGTCATGAGCCATTTTTTTTTTCAAGATTCATTAAATAATTAATTAGATTTAAGTATTAAAAAGATTTCTGAAAAGATAAATTGTTTAAAAATTAACACAAAACAGTTTATTTTTTTGCTTATCCAAATCTTCATATGTTGATGACGAAGAAATTTGTCTTTTTATTGGCGCGATTTTACTCATTAATTACTGCTTTATTAAGCACCATGGAAAAAAATGGTTCAGGACTTTTCGACTCGGTTTTTAATCAGGAATAACGCTATTTGCTTAGTGAAGATACACCCTGTATATAATAATATAATATATATAATATATATAAAAATATAATATATATAATATATATAAAAATATAATATATATAATATATATATATAATAATATATATATAATATATATAATATAATATATATAATATATATATTATATTATTATATAAACTATAT